TAGAGCCATGGAAGTGGCTGTGTAGGATACCATCATAAGGGTAAACATCATTGTAAAGAAGGCTTCTACTGTTGGTTTCAAACCTTAAAGATCAGAACAAGAAGGGTTTCAGTATGATCCTGCCAAGAGTTCTACCATAACCTGAACACTATCCTGACTTACGTAGTGTATTCTGCCTACAGAATACATTTTGTCTGAGAGCATAGGCAATGTCACTGAGGACAGCCCATATGTGTATGCCCTGTCAGTGGAGGACAGGATGAATAAGCAGTATGCCTGTAACTGCAGTAACACTGGAGACAGCAGAATGGATAGAAGTTACAGTGCTGTACTCCACACAGTCCAAAGTGGAGGCATCACTGTGGCTTCAAGTTGTCTGTCAAAGGAGAAATTTCTAGTGCACTTCCATGAGCAGCAGTTGTACAGCATTTCACTTGTTTCCAGCAAAGAGCTCTCCTAATGGACCTAGTGGCCTTTGGGCGGCTATGGATTTGGTAGCAAGGTCCACCCAGTTTTGTAGTCTGAGAGCCTCTTGCTGATGTGGCCTTGTTTCCTATTTCTGAGGGAAAAAAAACTCAGAATGAAGCGAATTGTGATTATTTTTAAATTTTGCTTGCGCTTTCAAGCTTTCGGGACATCCCAAGAGGATGTCGTGATCTGAAACCTTACCCTAGGAAAATGGTCTTCTTGGAACATGTTTTGAGGATGACATGTGAAGGTGTTCTAGGGTTGTAAAAGTTGGTGCCAGCAATTTTCAAAGTCTGCTCGCTAACCGGAAGGCATTTCACCAAAAAGAATGAGCTGATATTAATTCACACAATATTGAGTTCTTAAAACAAAACTTTTTCTTTGATAGGTGTCCTTTTAAGAATGGAAAAAGTGTCTTGTAAAAGTCACCGTAAGGTAAGATGGCCATAAATGAAAAGGAAAAAATCAAACCTATGCAGTAATGGTTATGGCACACTTCCTTTTAGGGACAGTGGAGATGAGACATGTCACAGGTTCTCACATGAATGCTTAAATATTTGAATGTGTGTCTTTTCTGTAAACAACATGGTATGCTAAAAGCAAGCTCAGTAACCACTGCCATGCTGATGTAATGCTTTATCTATATAAATATACCTGTATACATGAACGTATATAAAATGCGAGTGCCTTGTTGGTTTGTTGAGAGGGTTGTAGTGGGACTGTAGGAGACTGTACTTGCCTAACATGAAGTAAACTATACAGGTGAAGAGGATGCTTGGTATAGTCCTCATGGGTATTAAATCAGCCATTAGCTTTGAGATGAAATATACAGATGTTCTGTAGTACCCACTGATATATTCATGTCTGGAACACAGAGATATATACAGAATATTACAAATTTAATCACTAAAAGCACTAAGATTATTTTCATCTGGAGACAAATGAATTCTAGATCAAACTGGAAAAAAAGAGTTCTTTCGTGGTTAGCCTGTAATGTAAATGTCCAGTAGAACACAGACTATAGTAATGGTGGTATTTTCATATGCAAATGAAAATGCATACTTGTGCACATAATTTTTAGTAAATGTATGTATTGTGTCATCAAAACAGAGAGAGAGGGTAAAGCTTAAATAATTTTCCTTTTCTATGAAGTGTAATCTGCGTAGCTTTAAAGAATCCAGGTAGATAGTATTTACTGTTCCCAATAGCAAGTCATAAACTTATTAATGAACACCTAAATTGAGTATTCAGGGTTTTTTTCCTACATATGTTGATAATTTTAGACTCTGAGCCATTTGCAATCATAGGTACAGTTTTGGGGATTTGCAGACAACTCACTAACAGGCCAAAAGAGCACATTTGCAAGGAGCATTAACAGTCAAATAATTTGAAAACTCTGCATTAGGTTTACTTAAGTGACAATTAGCTACAGCAAGGCAAACAAACAAACTCTCTAACAGTAGTCCCTGATAATAATTTTATGTTTTACTTACATAAATATCTTTTTTTCCACAACAAGGAGTTCAATAACTGAGACGCTGCTGAAACACTGGTTGGTGATCAGAAAGAACATTGCACCCACTCTACAAAAAGCAAACCAGCAAGCTTTTATTAAAAATGTGGTGTAAATGTTGTGTTTCCACTACAGCATATGTAAATCCAACCACAGTGCCTGGAGCTCAGCAGTATGTGACCTCACATCCCAAATTCCACGGGAAAAGACTTGACTACAAGCTTGAGTCTGTAATGAGCCTGAAGTAGATGTGGTACAGGCAGTACTTGTTACTCGCATGCAAGGATGGTGTGTTCTCTGATGCAGGCAAAGGACAGAAAATGAACTGGTTTTCCTTTTTTTAATTTTTTTATGCAAGTTCCTGACACGTCAAAAATTCTCAGTCTGTGAGACATTTGTCTGATGCAAACTGTGAGGAAGTGAATAAGCAGTGTAAGAAGCTGTTTTCACCTTTTCCACTAAAATTTAAGGCTTTGCTTTCACACTTTCATATCCAATTTAAAACTGGGCCATTTTTAAGTAAATGGTGTGAAGTGCTTGAAGACTAAGGACCCAGAGCTTTCGTTGTTGCAAACTCATTTGCCAGGTCATGTACATACAGCTGTCAAAACGATAGATAGACCAGTATAATTTTAATATGATGTCTGCTGTTCAGCGTTTTCAGCAACCTGACTGGCACAGAAGTACTGTTACTCACTTCATCTGGACTGCTTGTTCAGGTTACGGCATGGCAGGGCAGACCTGCATCCCTCTCTCATTTCTGCAGTGACCTTTCTAGAAGCAGAACATCATCCCCACTTCGAAGTCCCTAACATAGACTTGACCTTACCTACTGATGTGAAGGGAAGTATTTGCTTTTAAGAGGCAGATATATTTCATAAAGAGCTTGCGGGTTCCTTCTCAGCCTCCAGGCTGTTCATCATCCTATCGCAATGATGAGGGAGCTTTATCAAATTTTTTTATATCCATTACCTAAACTAACTAACCTGTTCTGCAGTCCAGTGGAGTCCTTTTTAAGTCCAAAGAAAATGGCACCTACAACCAGTCCCAGGAAAGCTGAAATACACAGCTAAATGTAGAAAAGAAAAGAAGAGAAGTATTATTCTCATTGCTTTTCAAAGCTTCAGTAGGTTTTTTTGAAATATGTAGCAGGTGAGTGTAGATTGGCAAGAAGTGTTTTCAGAAAGGAGAAAAGCTATCCAAGCAGGGAAGGGAGTCGATGGGGCAGTTAGCAACCTGCAGCCGAGCAGCACTTAGAGTCTTGCACTGCGACATCCTTCCAGAGGCGCCTGTGAGACACAGCAGCTCCCCAGTGCCGCTTGCCCTCAGAGGCAGCAAGACACTGGGATGGCTAGAAAGGAGGGTTAGTACAGGAGCTTCAGCTGCTGCTCGCTTGTCTGTGGTGGCACTGGCAGGAGGCACATTCCTATAGCAGCATCACAGCTTTTCCCTGACCTCCTGCCGGGCTGGATCTGTGACCCGGGTGCTGGGAGGGTGCCAGTACCAGTGATGAGAAGGGGATGATAGCAGGGGCTTAGTGGGACAGGTTAGAAAGACGGCATAACACCTTTCTCCAGTGGAACCCCAGCATGACGTGCACCTTAGCCAAGCTCCTTTCCCCCACCACCATTTCAGCCATTCCTGGATATAATGATTAAGTTAATTGATGATGTAGTGCAACATTGCTCCTCTCTCCCTACTGATACTCTCCACCATTATTCCTCCTTGGGACAGCTGATGACTCCGCCTCTGTTGTCAGTGACCAGGGTAACTTCAGCTCTAGGGCTGATCGCAGCTCTTCAGTGCAGTACTTCTGCAGAGCAAGGGTTTATGTGAACCCATCTCAATGCTACTTTGAGATTGGCAATCAATAACCAAAAGCAGTCTTTCCTGATGGCTGGACTGGGGATTACAGTTTATTTTCATGGTCCACAGTGTAATTGCCGGGCTCTATCACACATCTTATTCATGGGATTGTTTTTAACATTAGCAAGGTACTACAATCAGGCTATAGGTGTGCTGATCTTTGCACACTGTAACACAATTTAAATAGCAAAGATACCACCTGTCTCAAGGATATAATTTAAAAGACTGAAGTGTGTGCATCACACTGTTTTAATACTAAATGCAAATGACAAAAAGCTCAGCAAAACTGATGGCATCAGGCAGTTCTGTCATTTTTAAGCGTGAGCAATGCATGAATTGTAATACCATAAACCACTTGATCCCTGGTACACTATCACTAAGATCCTGCCGAAAGGAGCAAATGTCAGGGATAATTCAGCTCCTAAGCCAACTGCAGTGGAAAGCAGGGATCATATCAAGACCAATTTGGAGCAGATTAATGAAAAAAGGCTTAATGAGCCATGTACCCCTAAAAGAATGCTTGTAAAATCCATCCCTAATGAGAGTGGGGAGATGATAGAAAAGATTGTGAGAAACAAGTCAGGACCATTAACCTTGGGGTATAACGAGATCCTTGAGAGTCTAATTCTTGTCACGAGGTCAAGCTTTTACAAAGCAATTATTAAGGATCTCCATCGTATCAGCATACAGACACACACACACACGTACTGAAAGCCTTTTAACCTCGGGGATTCTGGACTCGTTTCCCCTCCATGCTGGCCGTTTGTTCACTCATTGTATAAACCACAATGAAGATAATTTATAGCCCTGGCTCAGGACTAATTTTTCTACTGGGTCCTCTACTGTTGCTGAGAATTGCTGTCAGAGTTTTGCTGGTTCTGGGACTGCAGAGTTTGGCTCATGAATTAGGGGATTCCTGAGGAACAGTTGTTCTACAGAGGCCATCCAGGCATTCTTTATTTTTGCAGGCAATGTGCAGCTTTGAAGAAATCAACGCTTTTAGTGTTGATTCTTCTGAAAAAGCAGCAGTAACAGGGCCAGTCATGTAGAACATTCTCACGTTCCATGGCAGGTGTTAGACCCTATTGCAGTCTTCATTACACCTTCTCCAGAAGACATCACTGCCATTGTGAACAGGCAAATGACCAAACAACACACACATTACAAGACTGTGAAAATATTTTTACGCTGGAGCCAACTGCCAGCACTTCATTGTGTGCTGAAGTTTAATTAAGTCTGCAGGTGTAGTCTGTTAAGTTTCCCTGGTGGGGAGTAGATTTGAGGGCAAACTCCACAGTGCCAAGTCTGGACAATTAGAATTGAGTCTGAAGAATGTTCTTGAGCAAATGTGTGAAACTACTTGGCAGGTAACCTGCTCCTGGCCGGGAGCAGTAGAATACCCTGCTGGAAAAGATCTTGCCTCCCAGAGTCTTTCAGTAGTCCACAATTAATTACTGAGCAGTCCCTCATGCTGCTCATCTGGGAGCATTCAGGACACCTTCTAGTGAATCTGATTTCCAGACCTTGAACATTCTTACTTTAAGATGCTTTCTGCATCAAATATATATATATATTTAAATATATATTTAAATATATATATATATACTGCGTCAAAATATCAAGAGGCAAAACCATCCCAATGACTTGTCTAATAACGAGATTGGAATAAATTTAACATAGACCAGAAAAGGATCGATACAATTAGCGTTACCTGAGCTACGGAAGCTTGAGGGTTTCGTAACAGATTTTTAAATGTGCGCTTGGACACCCATTTCAGCTGATGGAAGAAGGAATTGGCATATGCGATTTGCCGGAAAACTGCATTTGTTTTCTTTTTGTTTCCCAAAGAAATATTGTCTAATGCTGCTTTCGTTTCTTGGTAGTAGGTAGAGTTGGAATATTTTTCTGCTAACCTCTCAGCCAAGGTTTTATCATATTCAGTGTGTTCTTCAGTGTTCTCTGCTGGAAAGATTAAAAAGAAATACAACTGTTTCTGTAAGTGATGGAAAGATTGTTTAGGAGTCAAGCCAGGAGAGGTATTTTTGGGGTGGGAGAGTTATTAACGAACCAGAAGTATTAATATGCACATTTAGTTCCAGTGATTCATTGCACTCAGTCTCATAGCATGCAATTCAAAACAATTGGTATAAATAAGACCAAACCTCTGTGTTTGTTCAACCTGTCCCACAGGCAGTGGGTTCACAGCAGACTAACTAGGTAAACTCTTGCCTGCCAATGAAGTTTCAAACTGATGATCCTAGACCTCCCAGACTTTTAGATCCTGGTAATCCTGCATGTGTCTACTTCAGTCAAATTTTGCAGTCTATCATAAAGTAATTTCAGCTGGAGCTCCTTTTTTTCTCAACTATAGTCCAGTGTGTGCTTTTCCAATGAGAAGTACAATGTTTGTTGCCGGCTATAATATTAGTCAGACCCTGAACACAGTCAGAATTTTTGTAAAATGCTGGTTGGTTTTTGGTAAAGATGTAGGGAACCTGTGTGTTTGGGCACACAGCATATTCATTATTTCATTTTCTTTTTCATTTATATGAAAAGAGAGTGTGCTGTTAATGAGTAGCAACAGACAGGATGAAAAAGCATGCTACAGAACGTAGGTGAGATTTGATTTGTTAGTTTGGGGATAATTTCTGCCTTACTACAACTTCAGGGAAATATCAGGAGAACACCGGTCCCCTATCTCTACCCCGTTTTCCCACTCTGCTCAGAGGAAGGAAAACAGTAATTCTGTAGCACATAAACCAATGCATTAGGTAAAATATACAAGTCATAACTGCATCACATTATGTCCCTAACTGGAACAATTGTCCTGGTTTATCGTCTCTGCTTCTGCAGGGCTTCAGTTGGTTTGCCTCGAAGATGAAAGCAGCTCTTACTCTGTGTTAAGCAGTAACAAAACAGTTGCTTGTATTCCCAGGCATTATGACTTCAACACAGGAAAATATTCCTTCACATTTAACATCTTGTAATTTGAGTGTGACACAAAAGTATACAGGTCAGTTTATGAAGAAATGGATAGCAATGATAAATTACAAAATACCTATTTATGAGAGGCAAACTATACTTGTATAGGCAGGAATGTTTTATATAGTAGGTCTGTAAGTGAATTTGGTACTTATTTCAGGTTGTGCTAATTATTTTCCATGTATAAACAAAAAAGATTTAGGAACGCTACTGTGGGGTTTTCTTTGAAGCAATGTGGATCAGCAGTATGTAATACTGTCATGCATACAAATCACCGCACACTTGTACAACACGGTTATTGGTTGTCTGACACCTACAAGTGATTTTTCTGTGTTGTGCTGGACACCTTCTGGCAAAATACGTCATGATAGTTTCACTCAGCTCTGGGTTTCGTACCTGTGTTGGTTTCATCGATCTTGCTCATTGCCACTGCAGTGGAGTCTCCATTAATGATGTCCAGGAAGAAGTCGGCAGGGTTGTTGTATGGCTCACACTCATAGCCTGTGGTGACAGCATTACAAGCCCTAAGCAGTGACTGTATAACTGGCAGAGGCTGTGCATGGCCGTCATGAACACAGCCACGCCATTGTGCCTGTTGAGCAGCCTGCCCCACGAGCATTGCAGGCTTCAAAATGTCCGTGCTTACCCAAGAGATGAGCAGCGCTGCCAGGCAGCTCTATCAGTGAAAGCAAGGTGACAGCTGGCAATGTGCCCTTCTCAACCCTAGCCTGGGCTTCGTCTAGTTAAGATGCGCCCAGAAGCAGCAGATTAGAGGTCAGCCCTATCATCTAAATGGGTCAAGAGGTGAAATACCCAGAGAAAGGCACAGCCTGTTAAAATCTCGGGCTTGCTAGTATGCACTATGACCGATTCTGATCAAGCGCTATTGGCATTTTATTCAAGTTTGTGCGAACTGAAGACATTGCTACAGTTGGCCGTGCTGTGAGTTGTGCTCACCGACAGACTGGAAGTACCCGATGGCATGCTGAGCGGGCCCATGGTACAGCACTCTCCCCGCGGCCAGCAGCGTCAGGCTGTCAAACAGTCGGAATATGGAGTACCGAGGCTGGTGGATGGAGAAGATTATTGTTCTTCCTTGTTTTGCCATCCTGAATGCGAAGTGAAGAATGAGAGAGATGTTAGCCTTACAAGTCAATTCAGCATTTAGATAAAAGAATTTGCAAGTTCAGTTAAGTCTTGGTTAAGTTTGATAAACTTGGTGTGCTAGAGAGGGGAGGGGGAAGGGAAAAAAAAAAGAAAAAGAAAATATTTAGGTCATATTTGTAATGTCTGTATGAGAAAAGAGAGTTCCCATTCACAACGACATTGCTGGAGAGGAAGGTCCTGTGAAGACTTTGATACAAACAGAAAGCTCTGGAGAGAGGAACTTGAGTCCTCTTTGCTTGTAGTAAATGCAAAATGACATACAATTTGCAAATAGAGAGTGTGTTGTGCTTGTTTTCCCAAAGATAGGCCTGAGATTTTGTGATGGGGAAACAGCTAGCTGTGTTCTAACTACTGTCCATATTAAAACTGATCTCCTTACCAGACTGTACAACAGGGATTTTTACCACTTTTCTGGCCAAGGCAGACACGGAAATAAATGAAGCCGTCCGTGATAGCCATCACGGACAAACTGCAGTCCTGGCATGCACACGCTTTGTTCAAGTCACTTTGTGCGCTGCTGTGAGCAGCTGCTTTGGAGTGAGAGAATTCAGACAGCATTTTTCCTACCTCCTTTGCAGCTGTGCCTCGCTGGTAAAAAATTACATGTCTGATTTCCCTGTCTGCTCATTCTAACTGTAATTTAAGTCAAATACAACTGAAATGTAGTAGAGCTGCGTGTTGAAAACAGGCAGCTGTTTCCAAGGTGTTTTGGTTTGGGCTGCAGCCAGCAAGAAAAGCGCCACGAGGCCACCCCTCCCCCCACTGGGGTGCGGAGGAGAATGGAAAGAAACAGGCAGAAACTGTGGTGGGTCAGGATAAGGGCAGTTTAGCAGAGCAGCAAACAAAGGGAACAGCAACAACAACGATACAGATAAGGAGAATACACAGAACAAACCGCAGAACAGAGCCCGCAGAACAGAACCGCT